TCTCTCTCTCTCTCTCTCTCTCACTCTCACTCACATTGTCAAACTTGATTTTGCTGGATGCCTGGATGCTGGCGATTGGTGCTATCTGCCATCGCCAGATAGCCGAGCGAACATGGAGTCGGTTTCACATCTCATCAAGGTGTCTGTGCCAAATTATTTAGCTGGCCTACCTATCCCGGATTCGATAGGCGGATGGTTTCGTTTAGGATGTAATTATCACCGTGTATTTATTTATACTTTACTTTAAGCGCGATCAATTTTATTTCATTTTCTCTTCATGCTTTGACATAACCTTTCAATTTGATGGATTTTTTGTCAAATTTTTCAAATTGATATAATTCATCCCCTTTTTCCTTTTTTTTTTTTTTCGATATCAGTACGAGACTGGTTCGCCCTTCTGCCACCCACCGCCCTTCTCACGGGATTAGGATTTATGTCCTACAGAGCGTTTTGCCCTCATGGTAGACCTGCGGTGAGTATTTCTTGCTTACTCATTGTACAAAGTGTCACGAGGATAAGAGTCAATGACTGTGTTTTAAAATTCAGAACTGCTAGTACTTTCGTCATTATTTATAACATATGTACATGTAAAAAATTCTTTATATAGTCTCTGTAGTCTCTCTCTCTCTCTCTCTCTTTACACATACATAAATTAAAGCTAATTATAGATCTTGTAGATATGTATACTGGCAATATGTAGCTTTTTTGCATTAGAAACAATGTGTTAGACAGAAAAACGTATTATTTTAGTACTTATCTTACTCCAAGTGTCCAGAAGTATACATTGTGCGTGTCAGTTTGAATATACACACATGCTGTGTATATATTGTATATATGTATACTGCATATTTTTCTGGACACTCGTAGAGAAAGAAGTACATTTCTCTATAAGGTATATGAGCAAAACATAGATTTTATTACGCATAACTAAAATAATAATATATATAAAAGGAATAAACGTTTGTACTTGATTACTTTCTTTGCAGCCATGTGGACGTGTTAATGTCAAAATAAAGAAGGATGTTGCTAAAGTAGTAGATACTGTTGATATCGAAGATATTTCTGAAAAAGCTGTGTTCTGTCGTTGCTGGAAATCTGATAATGTAAGTTCTTCTTCTGTACTATTTTTAAAATTAGCAAAGTGCAAGTAATACATATCTTTTGATTTGATTTTATTTTTTAATATGTACATTAATATCTACATAACTAAAGTTTTTATAAATATAATTAAAGAGTATGCATTGTGTAATAATAAGTGAACACATTAATTGAAACTGCACATTTCTTAAACTTTAATAACTATAAAAATATAAAACATAATTTTCTTAGAATTGTAATCAAAAAAAATTAAAATTGTAAGAGTTGTGCAAAAGTGTGTGTGTGTGTGTGTTATGGAACATAGAATTATATAAAAATAGTTCTAAATATATATTTTATTTTCTTACAGTTTCATCTCTTATCTTTTAAATATTACATATATATGTGTGTATATTTTTATTATAATCTGTATGTGTATATTTTTATTATAATCTGTTTTCATATACAGTGGCCGTACTGTGATGGTACCCATGGGCGTCACAATAACGAGTATAACGACAATGTGGGTCCGCTCGTTATCACAAGCAAGAAAGATTAATTACCTACATAGGTTGTTCATGTAAAATAGGTATTTACTCGCTCTATTGTAGATAAATATATAATGAGAGGTTAGATAAATAAATTTATCACCCCTTTGTAGATAAATTTTATGAAAGGAATACCCTTTGTGTTTATCAATTTGTTTTTTAAAATATCTGGATATTAAATGAAGGTTCATAAATAAATTATTTCTGAAATATATATGTATATATAACCCCCAATATATTTTATTTTTATATACATTCTGGTGGTTTTTTATTGTAATAAATAATTATTGAATCTCTTCTCTTCTTCTCTTCTCTTATCAATAAGCGATTAATAAAATAAAATTGACAATAAACAATTCTATTTGTAATATATTCGACGTATTAAACTTGACCATTATTTGATTTATTAATAGTTATTTAATATTTCTGACGTTATTTTTCAATAAAACTGATATATACAGAATATCTACTAACAATGTAGTATTTTTAATTAATATATTTATATTTTTATAATTGCTAATTGATAATTTGTTATGTCGATTTATTCTTAATAAAATATATAAACCCAAAAAACAATTTATTGATTTTATAATGAATGCATACATGTTTTTCAAACTTATTTACTAAATATTTTATTTAGCAATAGTTTTTTTATTACTTTTCATATATCGAGATTTATATAACTTATAATTGTATAGTACATTATAAATATATCAGATGCTTATTAATTATAAGCTTAATCGTAATATGTAAACTTAATATGTTGCAAAGAAAATTTTTATTGCAAACAATATTATACGCTACATCAAAGTTTGCTTCCACCTCCAAACAGAGACGATCACGAACTGCGAGAATCCATACGTTCGCGAACCGGCAAAGTTCGATCATCTTATATCTAAATTCTCTAAATTCATAAAAAATGAATATAAGTCTAGCCATTAAAATCAGTCACATATACTTTTGTGAGTTATAAATATAAGTAGCCTAATAATTTTAGTAATGAACATAATTGAATAATACATAAATAAAACATATTACTCTTATACAAGAATTTTTTAATTTTTTACTAATTGAAGTTTCTTGCGCATGATAATCATTCTTCGGCTGAAGGAATATTAAAAAAAAAAAGATGGAGTGAATGTTATGAAAACAAAAATAATGGTATTTAGAAAGGATAGAGAAAGAAGAAAGAAGACAAATTGGAAATGGGAAGAGAAGGTAAGGGAGATAAAATATTTAGGGTACACATTTCAGACAAACAATAGACAGGAAGGGCACGTAAGGAATAGGATTAAAAAAGCGACTAGAATTGCGGGACAAGTGTGGGGTATAGGGAAGAAGAAGTTTGGGAAAGATATTGGAAAAAGGATATGATTGTTTGATATGTTGGTTTAGACGGTATTAGGATATGGGGCGGAGATTTGGAGATGGAAAGAAAGAGAAAAAGTTAAGAGCGAAGGAAAAATTTTTGAGGTGGATACTAGGGGTAGATTGGAAAACAGCAGGGTATATAGTACAAGAGAAGATGAAACTAGACAAACTAAGAGGTAGGGCAGCACGAAGGGCTTGGAATTTTGAAAAAGGATTGGGGGAGAGAAAGGGAGGAAAATTAGCAAAAGAATGTTTAGAGGAGATTTAAAAAAGATTGGAAAAGAAAAAAGAGAGGTCAGAATGGGAGAAGGAAATATATTGTGATATTGTCTCATTTCAATATATGGAACACAATGCAAAGATTGCGTTTTCTATTATGCACGATAATACTAAAAATGTCGGTATTATCGCCTTTTTTAGTTACGTTTAGATAACGGCGCTAACTCGTCGGAGTTCGCTCGCCGGTTTTGAATCCCCTTAAGAGGGGCATATTTGGACGGAGTTGCTTTACCAGCTAGAGATGTGTTTGTCGATTGTATATTGTACTGATGTGTGTGCGATTGTATTCAATCTGAGAATCAAAGTAAGAATAAATTAACGTCTAATATTTGCATTGAAATAATACGTGGCAATGATCGATTCCGAATTCGATTTCATTCATCGCACATGTCTTTTAAAATACTAACAGTGAAAGATTAAGAGCTTAAAAATAAAAAAAAAAAAAAAAAAAAAAAAAAAAAAAAAAAAAAAAAAAAAAAAAAAAACGAGAAACAAGATTGCAAAGAAGAATTACAAGATATAACTTACAATAAGCACAAATTAAGAAAAAGAAAAATAGAAGAAAAGAATTGGAAAAAAATTAATATTGTGTCCAACAAAAGATGGAAATCTAATGGGAAACAAGGAAAGAGCTTTAAATTTGCCATTTGCCATTTCAAAAAGATTACGATATAAGTGCTCACCTGTTCAGACTTGAGGCTGTCTGTCATCTCGTCTCGAATACATGCTAATTCCGCTTCAGCCAAGCTTGTCGCGTGACGAGCACGTTCGTTTTCTCCTAAATTTTCCAAACCTCTGTTGAAAAACACATTTGTTATTTCTATATACTTACTTGTCTATAGAAATATATAAATACTTTACATTTATTTCTACAAAACCACATTAATTATGTATATAATCAAAAATTACAAAATATTAAACATTCTTCTCATAAAATCGTGAAATCGTCTTTTTTCTATATTATCTACTCTTTTCTTTTTATAATTTTTTCTTTTTCATTTATATTTTTTTCATTTATAACATTTTATAAATGAGAAAATTTTGTAAAAAAGAATTACCTAAGTGCTTTGACCAATGTTATCTTATTCTTCGAATCTCGATCTTTCTCCGCAAGCATCTTGCGCTGCAATTGCAAATCATAGCGTGTTTTAAATATCATTGGTTTTCGCTCTGCTATCTTCAAGTCTTTTGTTTTCTTCTTCAATCTAGAGAACATACGTTAAATAAAAATGTTAGTCATATGCATTAAATCACAAACATATATCATTTATTTCCGTTAATAGAATAACTATCTCCGTTGTGAATACATTTACTATTCTAATATTTTACTTTTAACTCTCAACATTTTTGGAAACGCTCGCTAAGATTTCTGCGAGCTTTTACATCAGCGCAGGAAACCGTGATATATAAACCTTGCATGATTCTACAGTGGCAGTTGTTATTCATTGTAATTTAGCAAATGATATGCACCCGATTAAGTCTAATTACATAATGTCTCATCTTTCAGGACAGATTATATCTATTTACTAAATAAAAATATATTAAAATACCAGTTGAATTACTTCGAAATTCTTGTATAATATCTACGTTATTTTTTAATACATATTAATATGAATAAATTTCATACATATCATATCAGTAAATATCATACATATTAATCAAATATTTATGTTAAATATATTAAATAAAAATGTTAGTAAGTATATTAAATAAAAATGTTAGTCATATTAATTGCTGAGGATTAAACGCTTCTGATTGCAATTTTACTTAAATATAAAAAGAAATTTTTTGTAAGCATTTTTGTACGATGTAAACATCATATATATATATATATATAAATTGGACAAAATATAAGACACTAATTTTCCTTACATTTTCCTTACATATAAATATCAAAATAATATTGACAGCGATAATAAACTTCTATATTAATTTAAGATTCATACAATCATGCATGCTATAAAAAAATATGGAAGAATTTACTTGAAATTATATATCGTGTCATGCTAATGGAGAAACAATATGCAAAAAGTTTACAGAGACTAAATTAATTACGGATAGAGAGATATTTATAAAATACAGTAACTCGACTATACATGTGCATGATTCTTATTTAAAACCGAAAAAAAGAATTGAAAATGCAGAATCAGATCTGATGATTTGAAATGAGATTAAAACGATACCCACTCTATTTTCTCAATCTGTCACAATAAATGCAAACAAAATGTTTCAGGCTCTATAACATTGAAATCCGAGCTTTACTACTGCAATGCAATTATTTTCATTAAACAACAATACACATTTATCATGCATCCAATAAACGACAAATTCACGCTTGAGCACAATGCGGAATAAAAATTTCTATATAGAAATTTCACATTCTTTAGAAAGACACAATGATTCTCAAGATGTCGCAAGCTCAATTGCGCCAATATCTGTCTATATTAATTTATATTAATGTATTTATTTATATTAATTAATGCCATTTGATTTTCCTACCCATTCGCAAGTAAATAAACGATGTAAAAAAGTACTATACAGTATCACTTACTTGCTCTTGAGATCTTTGTTATCATCCCGCAGGCGTTCGATGTTGAGCTTGGGAGTGAATTTTGTGTCCACTTTCTTAAACAGCGGCAGCCCGTCGGAGATATGGTCCTTAATCTGCATGTGCAGCTCATCATTGGCTGCGTTGCTCCGCATGATTTCCCTTTGCATCCACAAGGACCTCTTCAAATCGGCATAACGCGCCCTCTCGTTCTCTCGTCTTTTTTGCACCATATCCTTGATTTTTTTTTTATATTGTGATATAATCTCCTTTTGCTCAGCACGTATATGTGCCATAATTTGATCGTGTAATTCTCGCGGTTCTACAATCTCGTTAAATTGCGAATTATTGCAGCACATTTTCCATATTATTGCATCTTGCTCTGCTATTTCCAAATCCTTCGTTTTCTTTTCCAATCTAGAGAACATACATTAAATAAAAATGTTAGTCATACGCATTAAATGACAAACATATATAATTTATTTCCGTTAGTAGAATAACTATCTCCGATTTACTATATCCTATCGGGTTTAGAGGGAATGGTGAAATTGAAAAGAATTTTTTTCTAACGGAGAAATCGAGAAAAACCTTTATTATTTTCGAGGACAATGGGGCGAAAGTTTCGCCCCATTGTCCTCGAAAATAACAAAGGTTTTTCTCGATTTCTCCGAAAGAAAGAAATTCTTTTCAATTTCAAAAACTTTTTGTTTCGCCGCGAAACAAAAAGTTTTTGAAATAAGCTTTATAAGAAAAATGTTGTACAGAATATTCCGCAAGGTATTGTTACTCATACTTTGTGAACATGCGGATAATAAACTATATTCTTTAACGAATTTTTCTTTTGTTAAAAAATTCTATCATTCAAACGCTCTTATCACTTTATTACACCGAATAAATCCTCTGAATATATTTGAATATATATTGAATATAATTAACATTGCATTCTCCAATTGCCCAAAGGCTTTCAAAGCGTCACATGCTTTTACAAAAAAAAAAAAACTGATCTGTATTTGTAAATTTATATAATCTACAGTTAATAAAACACCAACTGGCATATAGTCAAATTCTTTATTGAATAATATTTGAAGGTTATTTCAATAAAATATATATCATATAAAAATATATATCATATTTTTTAATTAAATTAAAAAATTGTAAGATCAATTAATCAAAAAATGGTTCATTCAGTTCATAGAGAATATAACATTTCGTCGTACACAATATTAATTGACGTAAAGAATAAAAGGGGTTTAGTGTACGCATCAAATCATGTGCACAAAATTGTTCATGCCACCGAAATGGAGTTCCGTCAGTTATTAGTAAAAAGTAAAAATAAGCTACCAAATAAAGATGCATATTCTCAAATAATTTGTCGAGTAACACCGAATTTGTTGCTTGCCAAATAAGTATAAATAATGCCGGAAAGCCGTACAGCGTGCAAACTTACAAGAGTAAACTATCAGAAAAAAATTTGTTGCTTGCTTAAATTTGGTGCTGACGTATTGTCTGAATTTGTTGCTCTCGAAATATACAAGTTTCAAATTCGTTGCTTGCAAAATAAGTATAAATAATGTCGGAAAGCCACACAGCATGCAAACTTTCAAGGATAAACTATAAGAAAAATATTTGTTGCTAGCTTAAATTTGGTACTGATCTATTGTCTGAATTTGTTGCTCTCGAAATATGCAACTTCCGAATTTGTTGCTTGCAAAATAAGTATAAATAATGCCGTATAACTGCACAGCGTGCAAACTTACAAGAGTGAACCACCAGAAAGAAATTTGTTGCTCGCTTAAATCTGGTACTGATATATGGTCTGAATTTGTTGCTCTCGAAATATGCAAGTTCCGAATTTGTTACTTGCAAAATAAGTATCAATAATGTCGGAAAGCCGCACAGCGTGCAAACTTACAAAAGTAAACTATCAGAAAAAAATTTGTTGCTCGCTTAAATTTGGTGCTGATATATTGTCTGAATTTGTTGCTTTCGAAATATGCAAGTTCCGAATTTGTTGCTTACAAAATAAGTATAAATAATGCCGGAAAGCCGCACAGCGTGCAAACTTACAGGAGTAAACAACACATACGCACTACACATGCACCGCCGCCATTTTGTTGTAAGGTGTCCTGGCCGAATTCGGAAATCCGGCCGGCCACAGCTCTTTTGACGAAGTTCGCGATCTAGTAGTAGTATAGACATTTGTGATTGAAGCCCAATCAGCCATATAGAAAAAGAAGAATAACTTACTTGCTCTTGAGATCTTTAGATTCATTCCGCAGGCGTTTGACGTCGATCTCGAGCTTGGCAAATTTCCCCACCATCTCGTCGTGCAGCTTGCGCGCGGTGGGGAGCTCGATATATATATATATATATATATATATACCGCCACAAAATATTTTATGTTAGTTACAAAGAGCATTTAATACATCTTAATAATTATAGAGTAATTATGCTCTATACCTGTTTGCATATTTTAAATAATTTTATCAATGTAGAAAGAAAGAGTGCAATATTAGTGATATAATTAGAATGTAACATTTTGAACACTCTTATTTTCCTCAAAAAGGCACAATAAATTTTATATATGTATATAAGCTATTTTTATATGCAAAAACCTAAGATATTTATCTTAATTTGTGAAATTATTTAAATCAATATGTATATCTTATTAATAGAAATTAAACAATTAAGAAATAAATTATTAATATTAAAATTGATAATAAAATAAAAACTTATTCATATATAGTTGTACAAAGAAGATATAATTTTAATGTTTAAACTAAATTTAATAATTAATAATAGTAAATGTAGTAATTTAATAATTAATAAGTTAATATACTTGATATAAAAAAAGTTATCTTTTTTCATCAGTTTATGGGAATATATAATGCAAATGTTCCAATTATGGAATATTCTGTTTGATATAAAATTTTTTGAATCTCTAAAATATATTTTTTGAAAAATATGTTTCAAATGAAAAGGATTATAAAAGATTCGTTATTATGGAAACAATAAAATAAAATATTGAAATAATTGATATTATTATTATAATAAAATCAAATATTAACATAAAGTTTGTATAAAGCACACAATTAATTTAATTTGGTTTATTTGGTATAAATACACAATTTGAATATATTGAATACATTGAATATATATGTGTATGAAATACGTGTGTATATGTATGTGTGTGCGCGCTGTTATCACTACTGCTGTGCTCTTCACTTTCCTCCAACGAAGTGCGTTTTCGTTTATCGCCTCTAAGGAGTATTTCTGGACGGAAATTGCAAGACAAATTCAAAAAATAAGATTACAAAGAATTACAAGACAAACTTACATTAAACACAAATTAAGAAAAAGAGAAATAGAAAAAAAGAATTGGAAAAAAATTAATATTGTGTCTAACAAAAGACGGAAATCTAATCAAAAATAAGGAAAGAGCTGTTTTGCCATTTGAATTCAAAAAGATTACGATATAAATGCTCACCTGGCCTTATCAGACTCGAGACTTTCATCTTGTTCGTTTCGTAACTGTTTCGCCATAATTTCGATTTGCAGTCTAATCTCTCGATTAGCACGAATCCGCGCCTCATTTTGATCGTATAATTCTTGAAGCATCAGAGTCCTCTCTTCGTGTAGTTTCTGAGCGTCGTCGAGCAATGTTTTTAATCGATCAATTTCCTTCGAATCTCGATCTTTCTCCGCAACATTCTTCCTCTCTGCCTGCAATTTATTGAGCTGCAATTGCAACTCTATGCTGCGTATTTCATACATTATTGCATCTCGCCTTGCTGTCTCCAACTCCTTTCTTTTCTCCTCCAATCTAGGGAACATACGTTAAATAAAAATGTTAGTCATACGCATTAAATCACAAACATATATTATTTATCTCCATTAGTAAACTAACTATCTCTGATGTTAATACATTTACTATCCTAAACATTTTACTTCTAATTTTCAGCATTTTTGAAAACGCTCGCTAAGATTTCTGCGAGCTTTTACATCAGCGCATGATTCTACAGTGGCAGTTGTTATTCATTATAATTTAGCAAATGATGCATTCGATTAAGTTTAATTACATACATAATGGCTCATCTTTCAGGACAGATTATATATACAGGGTGTCTGGTAAAGATTGTGCCAACGCTCGTGTGTGAGCGGGTAGAAAACAGTAAGCTGAACAGAAAACCTTTATCATTTTGCGATTAAGATTTCTGCGAGCTTTAACATCAGCGCATGATTCTACAGTGGCAGTTGTTATTCATTATAATTTAGCAAATGATGCATTCGATTAAGTTTAATTACATACATAATGGCTCATCTTTCAGGACAGATTATATATACAGGGTGTCTGGTAAAGATTGTGCCAACGCTCGTGAGCGGGTAGAAAACAGTAAACTGAACAGAAAACCTTTATCATTTTGCGATTTTTTAAATAATTATTGAGAAATTAATTAGAAAAGATCAATCAATTCGCATGACTATAAGCGCGCGGCGAGAAAGAACGGCCCAGAGATATCCCAAAAGTTTGCGGTCGCTAGAAGTTTTGGGAGGAGCGCTTTACAAATAACAACGGTTACGTACGAGAACGGTATATAACGATGGATTCTCGCGTCCTAGCAACCACACATCAATGAGTTGTCCCTTTTTATTGCACGCTTGTACTCACACAAATTGGTCGATTTTTTTGAATTAATTTTTGAATAATTATTACGAAAATCGCAAAATGGTGAAGGACTTTTTTATTCAGTTTACTGTGCTCTATCCGCTCACGAGCGTTGGCAAATCTTTACCAGACATCCTGTATATTAACAAAATAAAAATAAATTAAAATACTATTTGAATTACTTCAAAATTCTTGTACTAATATCTACGTTATTTTTTAATACATATTAATACGAATAGATATATCATACATATTAATCAAATATCGTATTAATTGCTGAGGATTAAACGCTTCTGATTGCAATTTTATTTAAATACGAAAAAAAAATTTTTTTGTAAGGTTTTTTTATACACAAGAATAAGTTTCTCATTGATCCATCTTATAATTAGATAGCCTTTCACCTTCGAGTCTTCACGAAGGTTCTTTGGATATCAAACACTCAGAATCGACATCGCCTCGCTATCCTTGGCTTATTGCCTTAAAACAGATAACATTGCTATCCTCATGGAAAATGAGAATTAGTTTTCTTACTGTGATATCTTCGGAAAGTATCGATGATTAAACACTACTATCAATCCTTATCTTTTATATCAAATTAAGAAAAGAGCTCAGGATCAACTAATGAATATGAAAGAATATTAGATTAATAAAACATGGAATAATTTCTTACGAGATATTTTTACTTTCTTTTTATTATTATTTATTTTGGAAATTTCCCAATTCTAAGTAATATAATAAATATCGCATATAATGCGCGACATTCATCAGGGCATAATCGGGAGGCATATGTGAGTCACGGACTTAACAATAGCGTTACTTTAGGTTTACAGGGAATGGTGAAATTGAAAAGAATTTCTTTCTCTCGGAGAAATCGAGGAACACCTTTGTTATTTTCGAGGACAATGGGACGAAACAAAAAATTTTTAAAATAAGGTTTATAAGAAAAGTGTTGTACAGAATATCCCGCAAGGTATTGTTACTCATACTTTGTGAACATGCGGATAATAAACTATATTCTTTAACGAATTTTTCTCTTGTTAAAAAAAAACGTTATTTTAATTTTATATTTAACGTATTTTTGAGACTTGCAACGGTTTTCACAATTCAAGAGATTTAATGATTAAGAAAAACACATACAAATATTAATCCGAAAAGAATAAATGGTAAAACTTTTGCGATATATAACTCTATAAATCCATTAAATTTCAATTTTAAATATTCGCATTCTTCGGTTATCAAAAACCATTTGTATCATCGCAACTTTTTTATGTGCCCAATGACCATTAGATTTGTGAACGCTATAAGCATAACTAAGAGTCGCCTATCATTTAATAAAGAGCCACAATTTAGTCTGATTGACACAATTCCTCTCATGAAAAGTCCTTAAATCCGAGACAGTGAAACAAAAGATCCACGATAAAATAAAGAATGCAATATGATATCAGAATGCAATATGTCTGCAAAGTAAACAATAACAATCGTGAAATTCTATCAACATCTTACGCATTATAATTACATTAAGCATGCAATTGTCGCTTATGCATATACATGTAGTGAATGCAATTTTGCGTATTTCAGGTGAATGAAATTATTGGAAACATTTGACCTTTTTCTGACAATTATTTTCTCGGAAAACCGAAATAAAGGGTCAAAGCTGAAAATATATATCGTAGTAAAAGTTTCTCTGAGTTTCACTCTCACACTGATTGATTCAACAATTAAATAAAACGCGCCGAACGTATATACATATAGAACGTATACAGGAAGAGAATCAACGTTTTTAGTCAATATTTTTCATTGTCCAATATTTAATAATCATTCAAACGTTCTTATCACTTCTTTACACCGAATAAATCCTCTGTGTACATTGAATATAACTACAGGGTGTCTACTTAAATCCTGTAAAAACTTTCCCTGATCTTCTAGATATTTTTGTTCAAAATTCCAGACGAACAGAATATTTTAAACATTTTTTTATGCAATTTCCTAAGACAAGTTTTTTTATTATACGTATTTTCTAATCCTTTTCATTCATACGAAGGAAAAACACAAAGCCACTTAAGTTTCAAGTGCTAGGTTTACAAATGTATTGAAAATAAAACTGAATAGCTTTTGTTAAGATAATATTTTTTTACTTACGTAACATTTTTATTTTTTATCACTAAAAATTAAAATAAAGAATATGTATTGCATTATTAATATTTTGTTTTTTAAGAATTCATTGAATATATAAACAGAGATAGATATATATTTATAATATATTTTAAACGCATAATTCACAATATTGCTAATTGGTGCATTGTCTATTGCTTATAGTATAAGAGCAAAATTACCAGAGATAATTTTTTTAAAAATTCCCTGAGACCCAACAAAATTCCATGAGAATTCCAGATTTTTCACGTTTTTCCAGGGAGTAGACACCCTATAACTAACATTGCATTCTCCAATTGCCCAAAGGCTTTCAAAGCATCATATGCTCTTACAAAAAAGAACTAATCTATATTTGTAAACTTATATAATCTACAGACGTTAATAAAATACCAACTGGCGTTGGTCAAATTCTTTATTGAAGCCCAATCAGCCATATAGAAGAAGAAAAATAACTTACACATTCTTGAGATTTTTGGAATCATTCCACATGCGTTTGATCTCCATTCCGCGCTTGGCACGAGATTTCCTAATCATCTCGTCGTGCAGCTTTAGCGCGTCGGAGAGTTCGTGCTCATGTCCAGTCATGACGTTGGGCGCTACCTCCTGGGTGGCAATCTGTTTTAGTAACTTCATCCGGAGGATATTCTCCGGCTCGATGTAACATAGCAGATCATTGGCACGAGATTTCCTCACCATCTCGTTGTGCAACTTGTACGCGGTGGGGAGCTCGTGCTCATGCTTAATCTTGATGATGTTGGGCACCATCTCCCAGGTGAGAGCGTTCTGTGTGGTTAGCATAGCTGTAGTCTGCTGGGTATTCTCCGACTTGATATCACATGGCAGATTATCGTTGAAATTAGCCGCTGCCGCCGTCATCTCCTGGCTAAACTCGGTGATCGACATCGTTATCGTTGTTGAGGAATTGTAGTAGATACGTACGTGGCTTTTCTCTCGCACGTGTTATCCCAGTTATGTGTCGCGACTAACGTTTCAAGTTCCAAGAGCCTCTCCAGACACAGATGGTCAGAAAACGACGGAAGAACACCGATCGTGTAGGTATTGGCGAATCGTCAACTCAAAACTGTCGAAAGTGTCAGCGTGTATGGTTTTATTCGCAATCGGATACACACCTCGCAGTTAAAAGTTAAATACGCACTAGCGGTCACGATCAGCACAGCGTGGTCAACGGTCAGAGAATGCGATGCGAAGCGACAATCTGAGTAGCCGAGTTCCTTCCCCTACCACTGGAATTTCAAGACCTGTAGCGGGATTCAGTAACTTGTTATCGACTGTTTTCGGTATCGTTAACTAGCGGCAGCCAATGGCAAGGACAATTCTGGTGAAAAGCGCAATTCTCATAGGCTATCGCTCGCTGTACGTATGTACGAACGTGACCGAGTTTCACACCGCCATTAAAAGCAAGAAGATGCATCGCACGCCGCCAATGGTCATCACGTCACGTGACCGACCAATCGTGGACCTCGAACCGGGCAAGGGAACTTAATGTCGCGCGATCCGATTCGTCGGCGGCTAAAATTGAACAAGATGTACAACCAATTGCGACATGAGTAATTGAATATGTGACGTTGAATTTGGCGTGATTGTTGAATTGTTGCCAACCTCTCTGTCGTACGTGCTATTCTATGATCTATTTATTTTAATTGTTGCATCATGATACGCTTCGAATATAATAGAATGTAGTAGATTCACGGTCAAAGAGCGAAGAAATTAAAAAAACAATAAAATAAAATATTAAAATAATTGATATTATTATTATTATTATAAAATCAAATATTAACATAAAGTTTGTATGATGCACACGATTAATTTAATTTGGTTTACATAAATAGACAATTTAAATTCGTTATATGTATGAACGCGCTGCTGTCCTCTTCTCTTTCCTCTTCACTTTCCTCCAACAAAGTGCGTTTTCGTTTATTGCCTTTAAGAGGGATATTTCTGGATGGAAATTGCAAGACAAATTCAAAAAATAAGATTACAAAGAATTACAAGACATAACTTACAGTAAACACAAATTTAAAAAAAAGAGAAGCAGAAAAGAATTGGAAAAAATTAATATTGTGTCCAATGAAAGACGGAAATCTAATAAAAAATAAGGAAAGAAAGAGCTTTTTTGCCATTTGAATTCAAAAAGATTACAATATAAATGCTCACCTGGCTTTTTCAGACTTGAGGCTCTCGTCTTGATATTTTCGTAACTGTTCGGTCATAATCTTGATTTTATCTTTATATTGCAGTTTAATGTCTCGTTTAGCATGCATCAGCGCCTTATTTTGATCGTGTAATTCTTGAAGCATCTGAGTTTTCTCCTCCTGTTGTTTCTGAGCGTCATCGAGCAGTGCTTTTAATCGATCAATTTCCTTCTTCGAATCTCGATCTTTCTCTGCAAGCAATTGATCAAATTGCAATTACAAATCTGTATAGCGTGTTTCATTTACATTTCGCTCTGCTATCCCCAAGTCCTTTTCCTTCTCCTCCAATCTAGAGAACATACATTAAATAAAAATGTTAGTCATACAATAGCATTAAATCACAAACATATATCATTTATTTCCGTTAACAGAATAACTATCTCCGATGTAAATACATTTACTATATCCTAAATATTTTACTTTTAATTCTCAGCATTTTTGAAAATGCTCGCTAAGATTTCTGCGAGCTTTTACATCAGCGCATGATTCTAAAGTGGCAATTGTTATTCATTATAATTTAGCAAGTGATATGCGCACCCGTCTATAAGTCTAATAAGTCTAATAAGTCTAATTACATAATATATCTCCTCAACTTTCAGAACAGATTATATATATTTATTAAATAAAAATAAATTAAAATATCATTTTTAATACTTTAAAATTCTTGTATTAACATCTATGTTATTTTTTACTACATAGCATAGGTTCCATAGCATTGAAATCCGAGCTTAACTACACTGCAGTCCATTTATATTTTCATTAAACAACAGTGTTCATCTATTGTGCATCCAACAAGCGACCCAACTCATGCTTAAGCACAAAACGGAATGAAAATTCTTACATAGAGTCATTTCTGTATAGAAATTTCACACTCTCTAGCTTCTCTAGGCACTCTCTAGTGCCTATAAGTATACAAATACAATTCTCAAGATATCGCAAACGCAATATCTGTCAATATTAATATAATTCTTATTAATGCCATTTGATTTTCTTACTCATTTCGCGAGTAAAGAAATAATGTGAAAAAATACTATACAATATCGCACTTACTTGCTCTTGAGATCTTCGTTATCATTCTGCAGGTGTTTGATATCGAGCTCGAGCTCAATGCGTTCCGTGTCCGCCTCGTCGAGCAGCTTCCGCTTGTTACAGAGTACGAGGCTGTACACGGCCTCCATATTAGACATCTCCCGAGTAAAGGTCTCCTCCATGCTTTGCACCTTCTGCTTCAGCTGACAGTTGTCTAACTCGAGGTAACGCACCATCTCGATATAAGATTCCGATTCCGAGGTGATGGTTGTCGAGGAGGACAAGGACAAGTCGACGGTTGTCGCGGCGGCCGTCTTCTTCTTCATAGACTTGTTCTTTTTAGGCATCGTTGTTCTCGTTGAGAAGTTGTGATATAGGGGTGGGTACGTGGGTTCTTTCTCGCACGCAGTTTCCCAGTTACGACTGTAAGGTACCAGTAAGGTACCAAGATCTTCTGAAGATGACCAATAGCCAGAAAAAGACGGAAGAACAGCGGGAGTGTGCGTAATGTCAATTCGAAATTGCCAAAAGCGTCAAGTGCAGTGCACGTGGTTCTATTCGCGATCGGATACACAACTTGCAACCAATGGTACGTTCCACATAAAGACGCCAACGCTCACGCTCGCAACGTATTGTCCGTTCCACTAGCATGAGCGTTGTAGGCAAGTGGAACGGCTTATGAGCGTTGTGAGTATTGCAAACATGGCGAAAAACATAAACATGGCAAACATGGCGATAAACTTTCTCTAAAAAAAGGAACATATTTAAAAAAATATAGTACAAAGTTCATAAGATTATTTGTTATTAAATCATTATAGTTATGTTATAATTGAAAATCCTTTTATCTTTCCTCCAACAACATTACGTCATACATTTTATCATTATCTTTCTCGTATAAAGAAATTCTCTTCATTTTAACGTGTTTTGTAAAAATCACAGTTAATCACAGTTTTATAATTAACAATAATTATCTTAACCTAACCTAACTTAACTCTACTATTCAACGAAGCGCGCAAAACAATGCATTGTGGGTAAACGCTCACGCCGACCCACCTCTTCAGTGCGAGCGTTGTGAGCGTCATTTGTACAATCTGAAGTTGCTCACTATGGCGAATCCTAAACGCTCGCGGGCGCTAGGTGGAACGGCCTAAGAGGCAACGCGAGCATTGCGAATGTTAAGTGGAACGCACCCGATGTCATTTGTCGAAATCTAGTAAATCTGTTCACTTTTGTAATTTTCACTTTGTTTCAAAGATACACAATCGACCCCCAGCCACAGATGTCTATACTAAACCTAGATCGCTAACTTCGGGCTTTGACATATGAAAAGCTGTGGCCAGCCGGATTTCCGGTTTCGGCCATGACACCTTACAATAAAATGGCGGCGATGCGTGTGTAGTGCGTGTATGTGATACCCGACGTGTGTTAGTGTTTGTGCGTACGTGATACCCGATATTTAAATTGTGAATTTAAATTTACCTTATTATAAATTATTATTGCTTATAATTAATTTATCTATTTATCTTTATTGAATTTTATTTTATTTATTTTCTAATTTTTCATAATTTAAATTTATTTTTTGAATTGTGAATTTGTAATTGTGAAAATTCTGGAAAGATGCCGAGCAGTTGTTGCATTCCGAAATGCAAAAATACTACAAAAAATGGTTTTCATTTATTTAGGTAAGTAAAATGCATTCATTTTTAATAAATATTTTAGTACATCTCATGCAATAGCAATAGCTGACAAAAAGCGGGAGCAGCCATTTTGTTGTAAGATGTCATGGCCGGGTATCACATACGCACTACACATGCACCGCCGCTAT